ATAAAGTTCATTGAAATGAACTTAACCCGACTTCACAGGTTGAATCAGTCTGAAGTGCCTTTTGTGTTCTTTGATTCATGCCTGGCCAATGCTACTGTGTTTGGGGGTCCCTGTGGAGACTTTGTATTCACAGCTGCACGGTATGCGGTATCACTCATATTGTTTTATTATTCTATTATAATACATTATTTTCATTACTATTAGGAGTATTAAATAATAACTGTGCTCCCTTTTTGCCTCTGTCTGGGTTTTTATTTATGTATTTATCGCATCAGGAGCAAAACAAACAGTTGTATTGCATTTTATAACAAAAAAAACAAACAAAACACAAAGTTTGCAAGCTTGGTAGTTGATTAAATGTCCTTTGACCAGTAGCTGGCCACTTGGAGTGCCTCTGGTGTTGCCGCAAGAAGGTCCTCCATTGTGCATGTGGCAGGGCTCAGGTTGCATTGCAGTAGGTGGTCTGTGGTTTGCTCGTCTTCACACTTGGTTGTCATGGATTCCACTTTGTAGCCCCATTTCTTAAGGTTGACTCTGCATCCCGTGGTGCCAGAGCGCACTGTTCAGCGCCATCCAAGTCGCCCAGTTTTCTGTGTGCCCAGGGGGGAATGTCTCATTTGGTATCAGCCATTGATTGAGGTTCTGGGTTTGAGCCTGCCACTTTTGGACTCTCGCTTGCTGAGGTGTTCCTGCGAGTGTCTCTGTAGATCTTAGAAAACTATTTCTTGATTGACGTGCTGGCTGATACCCAAACAGGGGATGAGTTGGAGATGTCACTGCCTTGGTCCTTTTACTGTTGGCTGCTACTTCCCGACGGATGTCAGGTGGTGCAATACCGGCTAAACAGTGTAATTTCTCCAGTGGTGTAGGGCGCAGACACCCCGTAATAATGCAGCATGTCTCGTTAAGAGCCACATTCACTGTTTTAGCGTGGTGAGATGTGTTCCACACTGGGTATACATACTCAGCAGCAGAGTAACATAGCGCAAGGGCAGATGTCTTCACTGTGTCTGGTTGTGATTCCCAGGTTGTGCCAGTCGGCTTTTCTAAGATATTATTTCTAGCGCCCGCTTTTTGCTTGATGTTCAGGCAATGCTTCTTGTAGGTCAGGGCATGGTCCAGAGTGACTTCCAGGTATTTGGGTGTGCTGCAATGCTCCAGTGGGATTCCTTCCCAGGTAATCCTCAGAGCTCGGGATGCTTGTCTGTTCTTAAGGTGAAAAGCACATGTCTGTCTGCCTGGGTGATGGAACAGCATCTTATTTGATTATTATTCACTACTGGCAATGCTGTTAGGAGTATTAAACAGAGGTTGAATGGCCATCTGTCAGGGGTGCTTTGATTGTGCTTGGACTAGGGTTGGACTAGATGACCCATGCGATGTCCTCTAACTCTTTTATTGAATGATTCTGTTAAATAATAACAGTGATACTAATAATACTAACAACAACACTATTGTTATTATTCTTCATATTATTGTCACCTCATTCCAAAGAAAAAGGAGAATCTCCTCTTTCTAGAAAAGAATGACTGACGGAAGGAACAGACCAGAAGGAGAGGCGCAATAGCAATATGATGCATTATTATCATTACTATTAGGAGTGTTAAATACAAATACTACTACTACTTACTTACTTACTTACTTAGACGATCCCTTGTTGGCCGAGTATGATAGTCTTCCAGGATCAGAATTTTTGTGGGTCCGTAGGTGACTGTGGAACCCTATTCTTTACCTGTATCTTCTCCCTCCCTGATTTCCAGGTGGAAGCCGGTCTTGGTCGGGGTTAGCTTGACATGCCTTCCTCTTGGCACATTTCTCTCTTTCACCCTCCATTTGTGCCTCTTCAAATTCTGCAGCACTGCTGGTCACAGCGGACCTCCAGCTGGAGCGCTTAAGGGCCAGGGAGTCCCAGTTCTCAGAGTCTATGCCAGAGTTTTTAAGGTTGGCTTTGAGCCCATCTTTAAATCTCTTTTCCTGTCCACCAATATTCTGTTTTCTGTTCTTGAGTTCGGAGTAGAGCAACTGCTTTGGGAGACGGTGGTTGGGCATCTGGACAACATGGCCAGTCCAGCGGAGTTGATGGCAGAGGACCGTCACTTCACAATGCTGCTGATCTTTGCTTCTTCCAGCACACTGATGTTTGTCTGCCTGTCTTCCTAAGAGTTTTTCTGGAGGCAGAGCTGATGGAATCGTTGCAGGAGTTGCATGTGACGTCTGTAGACAGTCCACGTCTCGCAGGCGTATAACAGGGTTGGGAGGACAATAGCTTTATAAACAAGCACCTTGTTATCCCCACGAATATCCCAGTCCTCAAACACTCTCTGCTTCATTCGGAAAAATGCTGCACTCGCAGAGCTCAGACGGTGTTGTATTTCGGTGTCGATGTTGACTTTGATGGAGAGGTGGCTGCCAAGGGAGCGGAAATGGTCAACATTTTCTAATGTTACACCATTAAGCTGTATCTCTGGCAATGGAGAGGGATTGCCTGGTGACTGTTGGAAGAGCACTTTAGTTTTCTGGATGTTCAATGACAGGCTGAGCTTCTCGTAAGCTTCTGCAAAGGTGTTTAGAGTGGCTTGTAGATCTTCTTCTGAATGCGCACAGACGACGGTGTCATCAGCATAACAGATGTTGTTGGCTAAACCTGCCCAGCTCCTTAAGCCGCTCCTCATAGGGCTTGTTCTCCAGACCCTTGATCATTTGAGTCGCCCTCCTCTGGACACATTCCAGCTTGTCAATATCTCTCTTGAATTGTGGTGCCCAGAATTGGACACAATATTCCAGGTGTGGTCTAACCAAGGCGGAATAGAGCATGGGGAGCATGACTTCCCTAGTCCTTCTATATTCTTCCTCTTCCTGTGAGTGTCCCCCTCATTCCAGAGAGGAAGGAGACTCTGTTCCCTTGCTGGGAGGGGAGGCTTGACCGAAGGAAGTGCCGGGAGGGTCCTCGGGAGGTCACCTAGGGGGTCCCCGGGCGCGTGCCCCGGCTCCTGAAGGCGTGTGCGCGTGCCACCTCCTCCCACGAGCCCCGCCCCTCGGGGTCCCTCCTGCGTGACGTGTGCTGCCGAGGCGAGAACATCAAACCCGCCGCGTGGCGCCGCAGCCTCGGCATTTCGGGCGGAGAGGCAGACCGGGCGGGAGCAGAAGGAAGGAAGGAAAGAAAGAAGGAAGCCCCGTTTGGTTTGGGGAGGAAGAAGAAGGAGAAGAAGAAGCCCAGGAGTGGGAGGCACTCCCTCCCTCCGCGGGCTCTTCATCCCCACGCGTGTCTCCCGTGGGAAGCCCCGGGTGCCGGCTCCACGCGAGGGGACCCCTTCCCAAAGTCTCTCTCCTTCTCGTGGCCGTTCCTCCCTCCACCAAGTCCCTTTGGAGTGGCGGGAGAGGAGCAGCCCACCGACCCACCCCACGCGGGTTTGGAGGGGCCTCTCTTCCCACCGCGCCCCTTTTTGGGGAGAAAAGAGGAGGAGGAAGAGAGAGACGAGGGAGGAAGGGGCAGCCCTCTCTCCCAGCCCACGGCAAGCCCCTCGTGTTCTGAAAGAAGGAGAAGAGGACCCCCCCCTCCCCCACTGCACCGCTCCCCAAAACCCACGGCAAGACCCTCTTCTACTGGAAGATGGAATTGGAGGAGAGGGTTCTGCCCCACTAAGGGTTCTGCTGGAGGAGTCTCACCACAGCCTCTTGGCCCAAAGCTCCTCAGAAGTTCAACACTGTATTGGAAGAAGGAAGTGGAGGAGAAGAGGAGCCAGCCCTTCTCTGGTGAGAAGAGGAGCCCTCTTGGACTTCACCTGGAAGTCCTTGAAGACATCTCTCTCTAACCGCCCTTGCAAGCCCATGCTACCTTGGAAGAAGGAATGAGAGAAGAGGAGAACCGTCCTCTGTCCACTTGCACCTGGAGGCCCACAACGTCATCTCTCCTGAAGCCCATGGAAAGTTCCATACTGTCAAGGTGACCAATTGAAACATTCACCCCTAGCTCCAAGCAAGAGTTCTTTCCCCCAACCTGGACCTTCCACAGATATATAAACCCCATTTTCCAGTTTCCAACAAACCTCTGAGGATGCTTGCCACAGATGCAGGCGAAACGTCAGAAGAGAATGCTCTAGAACATGACCATACAACCCCAAAAACCTACAACAACCCAAGCTCCGTACTGTTCTGGAAGAAAGCTTTCGAGGAGGAGCAGAACCGTCCTCTTCTTGTTTGGAAACAATTAGAGGAGAAGAGGAGCCATTCGTTGCCCCCACCTGGAAACCCTTGAAGGCATCTCTTTCCAGAGCCCATTGCAAGTCTCATTTTGGAAGGTAGTAGAGGATCCAGACTTAGAGAAGAAGAGGCCTCATTCTCTGAGGGGAGGCCCACAACCACATCTCTTTCCAATACCCATACTATTCTGGAAGAAGGCACCACCCTCTGCCTCACTTGTGTCTTGACTGGAAGCCTTGAAGCCACCTCTCTTGAAAGCTTATTGCAAGCCCATCCTATTCTGGAGGAAGGACTTGGAGGAGAATAAGAACCAGCCTCCCCTTGTTTTGGAAGGACTTGGAGGAAAAGAAGAACCAGCCTCCCCTTGTTTTGGAAGGACTTGGAGTAGAAGAAGAACCAGCCTCCCCTTGTTTTGGAAGGACTTGGAGGAGAAGAAGAACCATTCTTTGCCCAGCTTGTGTCTCACTGGAAGCTATTGAGGCCATCTCTTTCCAAAGCCTATACCAAGCCCAGATTATATTGGAAGAAGGACTTAGGGGAGAAGAGGAGCCGCCCTTCTCTTGCTTTGGAAGGAAACAGAGGAGAAGAGGTGCCATCCTCTGCTCCACTTGTGTCCCACCCATTTCCCCTCAAGCCCATACTATTCTGGGAAAAGGAATAAGAGGAGAAGAGATGCCATCCTCTCCTTGTTTAGGAAGGAAGTAGAGGAGAAGAAGAACCACTCTTTGCCACGCTTGTGTCTCGCCTGGAAGCCCTTGAGGACATCCCTCTCCTCCAATACGTTCCATATTATATTGGAAGAAGGAGTTTGAGGAGATGAGCTGCCATCCTCTTCTTGTTTAGGAAGGAAATAGAGAAGAAGAGGAACCACGCTTGGAGAAGAAGACCCATCCTCTGCCTCGCTTGTGCCTCACTTGGAAGCCTTTGAAGCCACCTTGTTCCAAAGCCCAGATTATATTGGCTGTAGGTGATGGAGACGTGGCCCGTGGCAACTCCCTCATCATGGCCCAATGCCTCCTGGCGTGGCAATGGGTCTTCTTCTGGGGCCGGGGAGGAGTGGGACGGCGGCAACCCCTTTGTGCAGCCGGGCTGGCAGGTTGCCCTGTGGGCACTGGCCTATGGGGTGGTGGTGCTGGTGGCGGTGGTGGGCAACGGACTGGTGATATGGGTGGTGCTGGCCCACCGGCGAATGCGCACCGTCACCAACTACCTGTTGGTCAACTTGGCTGTCTCTGAGGCCGCCATGGCTGCCCTCAACACCCTGGTCAACTTCACCTACGCTATCCACAACGACTGGTACTACGGGCGCGTCTACTGTCGCTTCCAGAACTTCTTCCCCGTGGCCTCCGTCTTCTCCAGCATCTACTCCATGACCGCCATCGCCATCGACAGGTGAGCAGCAACACACCTGAGCTGAGTATCATAGCAGAATGTGTGGCTATATTATTATTATTATTATTATTATTATTATTATTATTATTATTATTACAAGATAATATAAGAGATGCCAGTACTACAACTACTATTGTACCTAGGGATTGGGTTGCAGTGGGTCTTCCATGCTGTGTGGCCAATGCGTTCAAGATGCATTCTTCTGATGTTTGGCCTGCATCTGTGGTCAGTGACATCTTCAGAAGTTCTGTTGAAAATGAGGCAGGTGGGGTGTAGATATCCCTGTGGAATGATGTCCAGGGTGGGAGAAAGAACTCTTTGTCTGTTTGAAGCAAGTGTGGGTGTTGCAGTTAGCAAGCTTGATTGGCATTGAGTAGCCTTGCAGTTGCAGGTTCAGTCATAGAATCCTAGAGTTGGAAGAGACCTCATGGGCCATTCAGTCCAACCCCCTGCCTAGAAGCAGGAATATTGCATTCAAAGCACCCCTGACAGATGGCCATCCAGACTCTGTTTAAAAGCTTCCAAAGAAGGAGCCTCCACCACATTCCGGGGCAGAGAGTTCCACTGATGAACGGCTCTCACAATCAGGAAGTTCTTCCTCATGTTCAGATGGAATCTCCTTTCTTGTAGTTTGAAGCCATTGTTCCGCATCCTAGTCTCCAGGATAGCAGAAAACAAGCTTGCTCCCTCCTCCCTGTGACTTCCTCTCACATATTTATACATGGCTATCATATCTTCTCTCAGCCTTCTCTTCTTCAGTGAGGGTCTCTGCACAGAGGGAGCCTGGCATAGAGGCATCCTCTGTTCGAAAGGAAGAAACCATGAAAATGAACAAGATCTGGTTTCCAGTATTAAAAAACAATAGAATAAGGACAGTAAATAAGGAACACCACTCAGAAACAGGAGGATAGCAAACAATTAAGGGCCAGTTAATACCTGCCAAACAGGGGATTCTTCCAGGCAACAGAGGCCAGGCCACCTTCATGTAGATACCCTCACTGATGGACTGTGCAGCTTCGTGGCTACTCAGTGCTATCCAAGCTTGCTAATTGCAACATTCACACTTGCTTCCAACAGACAAGGGTTCTTCTCCCATCCTGGACATTATTCCACAGGGATATAAACACTCCACTTGTTCCACTTCCAACAGACGTCTGAAGATGCCATTAGCCACAGATGCAGGCAAAACGTCAGGAGAGAATGCTGCTGGAACATGGCTGAACAGCCTGGAAAACACACAGCAGCCCAGTGATTCCAACCACAAAAGCCTTTGACAACACATACCTAGGAAGGCCCTCAATCCAGAAACAAAGGGTGCAAAGCATACCTCTAGAACAGTGTTTCTCAACCTGGGGGTCGAGACCCCTGGGGGGCGCGCAAAGGGGTGTCAGAGGGGTCACCAAAGACCACCAGAAAACACAGTATTTTCTGTTTGTCATGGGGGTCCTGTGTGGGAAGCTTGGCCCAATTCTATCATTGGTGGGGTTCAGAACACTCCTTGATTGTAGGTGAACTATAAATCCCAGCAACTACAACTCCAAATATCAAGGTCTATTTTCCCCAAATTCCCCCAGTGTTCGTATTTGGGCATATTGCATATCCGTGCCAAGTTTGGTCCGGATCCATCATTGTTTGAGCCCACAGTGCTCTCTGGTTGTAGGTGAACTACAACTCCCAAACTCAAGGGCAATGTCCACCAAACCCTTCCAGTATTTTCCGTTGGTCATGGGAGTTCTATGTGCCAAGATTGGTTCAAGTCCATCGTTGGTGGAGTTCAGAATGCTCTTTGATTATAGGTGAACTATAAATCCCAGCAACTACAACTCCCAAATGACAAAATCAACCCCCGCCCAACCCCAGTAGTATTCAAATTTGGGCATATGGGGTATTTGTGCCAAATTTGGTCCAGTGAATGAAAATACATCCTGCAGATCATTATTTACATGGCAATTCGTAATGTTAGGGTTATGGTTGGGGGTCACCACAACATGAGGAACTGTATTAAGGGGTCACGGTATTAGGAAGGTTGAGAACCACTGCTCTAGAATCATAGGATAGTGGGAATTGTCCCCAAGGGTCACCAGTCCAACCCGCCTCTTTCTGCCAAGCAGGAGGACACCACCCAAGCTTTCCCCGCAGATGTCCAGCCTGCCTCTGCTTCACCCCTCCATAGAAGGGAGCTCCTCAAACTCCCAGGCAGAAGCAAATTCCCTTCCTAAGAAGGTTCAGGTGGAATTTCTTTTCCTGCCATTTGAGTTTATGGTTCCATTGTGCTCTACGGCAGGAATGAAGCCTTTCTCCTCCGCAAGAGGGCATCCTTCCAAAGCATTTCCACCTGGCTCTCCTTTCCTCTTGGCTACCTTTTCTCCAATCTCCCATCTCATGGTTTCCAGGCCGTGGGCCTTTGGGTGGCCCTTCCATTGTGCCCATAATCTTCTTCAATGGCTTTTGCCCAGAATTGGCCTGGCCAAAACATGAGATGAGCAAGAGTGACCACCCTGAGCGAGGAGGGCCTTGAGAAAGGACACATCACCTTCGTTCTTCCAGCCCTGAAGGACCCAACAGGAATCCCCTCCACCTGGGCGTGGAGAGAGTGAAGCCTGCCTCTGAGCAAGTGCAGAGTTGGGATTCTGGGGGAAGGAGCAGGGCTTGTGTGCCTGGTCTTGTTTGGGAGGCCACCAAAGTCAGTGGAAGGCTGTAAAGTCACCAATGGACTTTGTGGCTTTATGGAATGGCCTTTCTCGAGGCTGAGAGTGATTTGCACTCTGCACTTGCTCAGGGGTGTTCTTCATAGCTTTTGTAAAGAGCATTTCCATTGGATGGAAAGAACACAGGGTTTGTTTTTTTTTTGTCGTGTCAGGAGTGACTCCTGGTGTGAGAGAATTGGCCGTCTGCAAGGACGTTGCCCAGGGGACGCCTGGATGTTTTGATGTTTTTATCATCCTTGTGGGAGGCTTCTCTCATGTCCCTGCATATGGAGCTGGAGCTGATAGAGGGAGCTCATCCGCCTCTCCCCGGATTTGAACCTGTGACCCGTCGGTCTTCAGTCCTGCCTGCACAGGGGTTTAACCCACTGCGCCACCGGGGGCTCCAACACAGGGGTGGAGGGAATGGGATTTTCCCAATGCTAAAAGGGATTTGTACTCTGCACTTTTTCAGGGATTCTTCTCATGCCCTTTAATTCCAGATTTAGAACTATTCCGTCAGGTGGAAGGAACACAGGGGTGATGGGAATGGGATTTTCTCAATGCTAAAAACCATTTGGCCTGCACTTGCTGAGGGGTGCTTTTTATGCCCTTTATTTAGAGCATTTCCATTGTGTGGAAGGAATATAGGATGGTGAAGATGGGATTTTCCCAATGCTAAAAACGATTTGCATTCTGCATTTGCTGAGGGGTGCTCTTCATACCCATGTCCGTCGGGCGGAAGGAACACAGGGGTGGTGGAAATGGGATTTTCCCAATACTAAAAGGGACTTTCACTCTGCTCTTGCTCAGGGGTGCTCTCCGCTCCCCTTATTCCTGGCACAGGAGTCAGTCCCACAGCATTCACTCCAGTGCAGACAAACCATCCGCTGTGCCACTCAGCTCTTTTTGCACACCTGTTCTTTTGTTCTGGGCCTCAGGCTGCATTCTGCTCCAGGTTTGGGTTCAGCTCAGTTTAGGCCAGTGTTTCTTAACCTTCCTAATGCCGCGACCCCTTAATGTTATGTTCCTCATGTTATGGTGACCCCCAACCATAAAATTATTTTTTTTTGCTACTTCATAGCTGTCATTTTGCTACTGTTATGAATTGTAATGTAAATATCTGATATGCAGGACGTGCTGTCGCATGCTGGGCCTATGCATAAGACTGTAGACAGTACATAAATTTTATGTTCCCAATGGGACGCCAGGGCTGCCTCAGATTAAAGGCCTTTGGATTTCCTTAAAACACAGTCTCTAGAATACTTAAAGGTTCAACAAAGTTCTTTATTAATGAAGGCAAACAGGTACTTTAAGGCTTTTTTAACAGTCTATTGGCTCTTTCAATCTTGTCCACAGGGAACAGGCACTATCTTCATGACTGGTATTTTAACTAATGGGGAAATCCTTAACTTTTAATCTGGGCAGTCTTTCTTTGCCTCTGTTGGCGTGGAGCCCCTACACCCGGTTCCAACTGCGTCTGGCTTCCGCAAGTGACCCTTACCAAGCAGAGCTTTGTAGACTTCCAGGGAAAAAGGAGTTCAGGTTTTGGTAATGGCTGGCTGAAGTCCCTCAGCAAAGGAGCTGTAAGGCTGTATGATCCTCGGCCAAGCTGTGGGGCTGTATCTCCCCGGCCAAGCCATAGAAGACGAAGCTTTCTACAGGAGCTCTTGGTATTATGTCCTGCATGGAAAGCTGCTCTGTGTGGACTGAACCAAAAAAGCTCCTATTCCCTCAAAAACCCCAAAAAGGGGGCGGGACCAGGGAACCTAACTGTAATTGACAGGTGGCTTGCCCTATGATTGCAGCCAAAAGAAGCCACCTATCTGCAGTCCCTGAAACTTAGGACTATAACAAACATTAAATGCAAAGCAAACAAAATTGGAGCTCCTGGTACAGCTGTACCTGCACACAGGATGTATTTTTATTCACTGGAACACATTTGGCACAAATACTGAATATTGGTTGGGTTGGGAGGGGGAGGTTGATTTTGTCATTTGGGAGTTATAGTTGCTGGGATTTATAGTTCACCTACAATCAAAGAGCATTCTGAACTCCACCAATGATGGAACTGAACCAAACTTGGCACACAGAAAACCCATGACCAACAGAAAATACTGTAAGGGTTTGGTGGGCCTTGACCTTGCGTTCTGGAGTTGTAGTTCAGTTACATCCAGACAGCACTGTGGACTCAAACAATGATAGATCTGGACCAAACTTGGCACGAATACTCAATATACCCAAATGCGAACACCGGTGGAGTTTGGGGAAAATAGACCTTGAAATTTGGGAGTTGTAGTTGCTGGGATTTATAGT